AAAAATATCAAGTGCAGTATATCAAATCAAAATGAAATATATCGAATCAAATACAATAAAATGAAATGAATTGAATTAAAAGCACAATATGTCAAAAAAAACATCGAGCCAAGCTCAGAAAGCAAATATTTCCATCTAGGTGTGAAAAATGCATTTCTGGTATCTCTGGATCTTTGTCGTTGTGTCTTTCTGTTATTATCCTGCGTTTGTTTTTTGTTGTGCTTGTTTGTTTTGCGACTGCTTCTGTTTTATTGATGTCGCCAAGTCGCGAAAATAATGGCTGGCCTGCGAAATAAGAAATTGATTTCATTATAGAAGAAATTAAAAATTTTATTGTCGTCCTTCTTCTAATTTTGTCGTGGACAGGAGCATTCATTCGAGAATACAAAAATTATGAAGGCGTTCGCATGACGACAGAAAACAAAAAAAATATAAATTTAAATTATCATGAGATTTCTTCGAAATATTTTTTTTTAAATCAAATATTTATTTTGATTTTTGAATCGAATGAAAAAAAAATAAAAAATATATAATTCGTTAAGAATCAATGTATTTTTTTCAATTGAATTTTAATAGATTTCAATATTTCCGAAAATTTTTTTTAAGCAAGGTCGAAAATACTTTTGAAAATATGTTCTCGAGATTTTCTTTTAAAAAATGATGACAAAATTATTTCAATTTTTTGTGTAATTTTTGAAGAAAAAAATATTTAAATTCATATATATTTTAAAATGAGCAGAAAAAAAAAGCTGGAAATGGCTAGGTAATTTATTTATTTTCGTCTTCATTTCCTAATTGTTGTTTCGTTTTTTACTTCTATTTACTTTTGTATGAACAAATTGATTGTATTTCTCTGCCTACTTGCGTATACTTTTTTAATCTGCTTATCTGGGTTTGTATTCTTGCCTTGTCTTTATGTATGGTCGCGTAAATATAATGCGTCTGGATTTGCTCATTTGTCTGTCTATTTATTCCTCTCCCGGCGCTTCAAGTTGCGGTTCGGTGCATAACCCACCCTGGCATAAACCACAAGCGAGTGCGATCACCAACAGTTTGAGGTTGACAAAAGCTCGGACTCGATTAAGTCAATCCGACCGAACTTGCTTGAAGAGTAAAAAATCTTGGAAAAATCGAACACTCGATATACTTACTTCATTCAAGGTTCTTGGCTCAGTGAATTAAATTATATGTACTATATATTTGGATCAATTTGTCCCCATATACAAATCTTCATCCTTTACCAAACCGCCCTGTATTTAGGTCAACTGAAAAGTCTGAACAGAAGAGTGAGAAGCGAATTTCGGGCTTGTTGGCAAGTGCCTTAAATTGCAATTCCATCGCAGCTTTATATCCGGCATTTGCACCAGTAGCCGGTCGAACTGGGTTTACAGAGATGGCGCAAATACAACCAAGGTCAGGATTTTAGGATTTTGTTGTCAGAGTGCGGGCATGTGCCATGCCCTTCTTGGAAAAAACTTGATTTTTATTATTCCTAGCAAGGAATCATGCATCCTTGGTCGTTGAGGCTGTCCACTCATTTCACCACTGAAAATATTCAATTCGAATTATGTCAGAAACGATGTCAAAAAGAATATATATCATAAGTTTGTTTTGTATGACTTTTTTTATACATTCCGAATGAGTGAGCAGAATTTTTTCGTTTCAAAGGTTGGGTGGCCAGGCGTCCAATCTTTGACCAAGGATCGTCATTGAATTTTTCGCAAAGCGTTACCTTAAAATGATCGCAAAGCGTTACATTCCAGGCCCCAGCCCCCAGTGCTTCTGTGGAAGAAGGACCCCGAGCTGGTCGCAGCACTGGTTGCATCAGTGCGCTTTGCCCCCTCGACCCAATCGAGCGGCCAGCGCCCCGAGATAATCCCCGCATTTTGCGGAAGAACAGGGCGTGCAACACTCGTGGCTCGTGGATTGCCGATGCAACATGTGGCGAGGAGGTGGCTGCCGACACAAAACAAAGTCAAAAACAAGCCTGGCTTGGAACATTCTCGACCCACCAATTAATTTTGTACGTTTCCCCCCATGCCTAGCGTGCTTGCCGGAGCTGGGGGACCCGGGGGCGGGACTGAGGGAGGTTCCTGCCCATGAGCACGGGAAGGCCGCCAGGTGAAGCCGCTGAGCCAAGAAAGCCAAGCAACTGACCGACCAAGCAAACAAGTACAGGCAGAAGTGGGACAAAAGCGAAACCGACAGCCCTTCGGTCTTCACGGTTGACGTCACTCAGGTAGCTAGCGGTTTGAGCCAGACGAAGTCGTGAAGAGCCTAGAATAACCAAAAACCAGTAGAAGAACGGCCGGAACACCGGCAACACAAGTCAAGACTCCAAAAGGCAAGAACCAGAAATCTGAACACCCAAGAAACGCAAACCCTCCCACAGCCCTCCGAAAGCTCAAGGAACCAATCGAAAGCAGCTTGGCAGCAGGCAGAGCAATGAAGCACGAACGGCCAAACCATGGGATTGTCGCATTAGCGGCTGCTGCGGGCAGAGGAGGTCAATATATTGCCGGGCTTCTGCGAAAACTCTTTGCGGCGGTGGTTGGGCCCGTGTGTTGGGGGGTGCAGTCTTCCTCTCGTATGCTCCTTCTCTTTTGGTGCTTTCTCCTTAACCTGGCGGCGGCCTTTCGGCGGCAAGCTGGCCGTCTACTGCCGGGTTCCGACGGCGGCCCTGGCTACGTGCCGGGCCGTCGCTTTTTTCTCGGTTGTTGCTGGGTCAGTGGCTTTACCTGGCGGCGGTCTTCCGACAAGTCACACCGGTCGTTTACTGCTGAACTTCCGCAAACTTCCTTCGTCTACATTAACCGCCAACGCGACCAATACTGGCGACGCGCCGGGCCTGCTGCATGGTGGTGTTGTGTGGTGGCGGTGGTCGTTCTTTTTTGGTGCTTACTCCTTAATCAAACGACGGCCTTTCGGCGGCATGCCGGCCGTCTACTGCCTGGTTCCGGCGGCGGCCCTGGCTACGTGCAAGACTATCCCTTCCTTTTTTTTTTGTCGGTTATCTCGCTTTACCTAGCGGCGGGGCCGTGTACTACCGGGCTTCCGCAAAAATTCTTCCTCTATCAACATACGTCGCCCGGCACAATCTGTTTTCCTCTACGGAGCGCACCACCTCCTCTAACTTCTTGCGGAACCATGAAAAAGGCTACGGCGAAATATGCGATAACCAGACATATCCGCGTGCTTCTCCCTCTCCCTCGTCTCCTAATTCCGTCTTCTCCTCTCTCTCCCTTCCTCCCCCAGCGCCTTAGTCTGTATTAGTCTCTAATTCCCGCTTTCGAACCCTCCACGGACGGCGGCCATAACAATTCCGGAACTATCCTGAGATATAGGGGAGAAGACTCTAGGCCGCTATAATTATTACCACTAGCCAGTTCACTTCGCTTCATTATATATATTTCATATTTTACTTCGTCTTTGTAATTTTATAAGAAATTTACATCAATTCGAATAAAAGAATTATGTGCTTTTTCACGAAAATTAATTATATCTCCCTCCGAGCACAAATAAATAAATATACTTGGACGACGATAGAAATAAATAATTCCAAATAAATAAAGACCGATAAAAATAAATAAATAAATAGATAAATATAGATAGAAACCATTAGAGATAAACAGGCACCAACAAAGATAGACAAATAGATAGAGACAGACACAGACAGACGCACAAACAGATATACGGAGAGACAGAGAGACGCAGAGAGAGACGCAGAGAGAGACGCAAAGAGAGACGTGCAGAGAGACGTGCAGAGAGACGCACAGATAGACAGACTCACAAAGACACACACACGCACTCACACACACACACATTCGCACACACACAGACACAGACAAAGACACACGCAGGCACACACACACACACACATACACATAAAGAGACACCTGCATTCAGAATGCATGGCACTCGAGCTCGCGGTACTAAAATTTCAGTTAGCGCGGGCATAATTCAAAAATTTCGCAAATTTTATGACCGCGAACATGCCTGTCGAAAATTTCGGACATTTTATTACCGGGAGCATGTTCCCTAAAAGCCACCTGCTTTCTGAAATTTTAAGACGGCGAGATTTCCTACAGCTCCTAAAATTTCCGAATTTTAGTGCCGGGAAAGAAGTGACTGAAATTTGCGAAATTTTAGTACCGCGAGACAGGCACGCAAGAGGCTTTCAAGAGGAAACGGGCCAAAGGGCGAGGTTACAGGGCACCAAAAAATAGATGCGACCAGCACGACGCCATTTTATTATTATAAGAGAATGTAATGCCCCGATATCTGTGGTATTGTAATTTTCTATGCTAATCATGACAGCGCAAAGACACTTCTGCCGTTGAAATCAAATAATTTGTCATTTAAGGTGAAGCCAAATAAATGGACCAAGAGTCCTGTCCTCCCAGCCCTTGGACGGGGGATTGATCTCATTTTTGCATTGATATTGGGGCCAGATCCGAGTTCCTGTTTAGTCCTTGCTACAACTAAGCTGCAACAGTTAAGCGATCTTATGGCATCGGGAAAGACGGTTGGCTTCCTTTAATGTGCATGCTTAATTTCCGACAGAGTTCGTAACTCTTCTTAGCAAGCCGAAAAAATCTTTATTATAGGCAGGTATACACAAGGTCAAACTTGCAACGTATGCCATGTGGATGCAGTGCTGATTTCTGTACAGGACCCAAGCATGACATGCAGGCTTACTCAATACTCAAATTTCAATTTTCGCTATTCTCTTTCATTGTCCAGGACAACAGCGCGTCACGTCACTCTCTCCCTCTATCGATGTCTGCCGTTCTCAAGAAAAAATGTACATTCTCTTTACTATCCAAGATACCATGAATGATGTGCAACAAGCGGTGCGGATTTGCCATATCTGAACCGGACATTGAAAGATGGATCCGTCACTGTTTTCATCTGCGCTGTCCTCTTGAAGGACGTCGTAGTTTGCGACATAAAATAAAGCAACGACACGAAAACGTCGTTAGTGAAGCCTACGCTCAGAATCACCGGACCATCGCTAAAGCCACGTCCCGGAACCTGGAAAGGATTTCGGCATTGGTCGTGTGACCCAACTAGGTTGACACGTGATGCGAATTTCGCGCTTCGAAGCCTTGCAAGAAAGGAAACAGCGAGAAACAGCAAGAAGCATCGCTCGGGTTCGTGCATCCGGATACGGCTCCCAGCCCTTGGAAGGGCATGTTCAAATCATGGCCAGGCAGCATATGCAGAACTGCTTGCTGAGCTGAAGCGCATCAGGGACTTCGTTGAATAAGCAGAACGACTGCATCCATGCATTGCTGTTTTATTGAGGTCTACATCCTCGACTTTGTGTGTCGCCGTACAGACTGCACAAGATCTGAGACTTGGGCACTTCGAGGCCATCCAGCTCCAATGCTTTCTCTGATGACCTTGGCTGCACATGCGCGACAAGGACCTTGCCAAGCGCTCTGAATGTTTGCTTGACATGCACCGCTCAGACGCGGCTGTTGCTGGCGAGGAGCTGTGAATCCAAGAAATCCAAGTAGCAGTGACCACGTGGCCTTCCCATAATTGGATCCATAACAACCTCGACACCATCCACAGCTTGTGCCACGGCCCTTTGGCAAAGCACTTGCTGCAATGCTCTGAATCAACTTCACACTTGACAGGAAGAGCACCTCCATGTGAACTGGCCGGACTACAACCTTCTTGAGCAGCACTTGGATCTTGTTTTCGAGCGCCTGCTGTGGAGAGGAGCGTGCTCGTGAAGCATGTTGGAACAAGGCTGCACCCATGAGAGGCCACATGGCACTGAACAGGTTGACTCCTCCGCCGACATTCGTGTTGGTAACTTCTCCATCCTGCCATAGTTCGTGTCGTTGCAAACGCGTGATGGGGCCGAAGAAATAATCTATTGCATGCAGGCTCCACGTTTGACCAGACATAGCAGGCATGCCAGTGCAGGGTATCCTGACTCGGAAGACGGCGTCCTCCTTGTCGCTTGCGTCCTGAGGAAGCATGGAGGAAGAAGGAAGATCGATCGTATGAATCGTCTTCGTGGCACATAGTTGGAGACGACTGGACACTTTCCAGGGCCATGGCAGTTTGGAAGAGTTGCGAGCGGTCTTGGAAATCCAAGCTCTGCCGTGGCTGACCCGTCCTGTCAGCAGACAGCTTCGGGATTACAAGGGCCGCAACTACGCTAGTTAAAAAAGAAAGCAGCGTTTGAGGGGATCTTGGTGTCTCCGTTGACAACAACGCCGCGACCAAATCCGAAAGAGGCGCCAGATGCAAAGGGGGCACGAGTCCAAGCGCCCGGCAACTGGCGGCATCTTGCCCAACAACACCGATCCCGACAAGCGTGTGCAAGGAATCATCCACGGGCAGTGTCGCTGTGTCTGGGGCCCTGTTTTTGGCTTCTTTCGGTTGGACTGGGCAAGGGACGAGCGACCAACAGACTCAAGGACGACAAGACCAAGGATCACCCTGCCGTCAGAACATGCCGGCAACATGCGTGGTCGAAGCCCGCAGTATGGCGCAGAATGCCGGGATACACTCACAGAAGCTGGCCTGTCTTGCACCATCGCCTGAGTGCAGCGAGGCTCTGGCTCTGAAGATGAGGCTCCCGGGCTCCCGACGCGTTCAATCATCATCTGGATGTGCTGCGATGCCGCGTGATCCGCTGCCTCTGCAGGGTCCAAGGATCCGGGTCTCCAACGTCGTCTCTCTCCCGGAGCTGGGTCGCGGGCTGTGCGGCCGCCACGGTCCTGCAGTGAGCCGTCGTAGCACAGCGAAGTGGCGACCCGTGCAGTGTGACAAAGACGCGGTCGGGGCTTCGAAGCCAGAACCAAGGACCCGCGATTCGCTCGAGATGCAGCATTTCACCATACTGAGGTCCAGCGACCAATGAAAGACAGAGCAAGTCCTTCTCAGCGACCTTTGTGCTCGGATCTCGGAGCATTCGCTCTACGGCCTCGCACATAGAGTCGGGACACGAAACTTTGAACTCCCGACACCGGAGATGATCCATCTGCAGGCGCTAGAGCATTAAGTGAATCAAAATTCACAGATTCCTTGTCATGACAATATTTTTAAACATGCTCAGAGGCTACGAGCCTCCGTGTAGCCGACTGCTGCGGCCTGGGCACGGAAATTACTGCGTTGTTGGGACGATACTGGCCCGTTTCAGGAGAGGGCGGGAGAGAGAAATTGCGTTCACCACGGAAGGTTTTATGCAGCGATAAAATCCATCGCGGAAAGGGTCGAGGGAACTTGGCTTCCAAAGGCTGATGGCCTACGGATCGTTGGAGGTGACATTGCCAACACGAGCTGATCCCTCCTCAACCCATCATCTGGCTATGACTGATGCGTAGCAGCATACGGGCGCAGCCTGCATCAGTGGAGTGCGACCGTTCTTCTCCTTCGCATTACAGTTGGCCTGCAGCCAACTCGATGGAGACTGGCATGCTTGTTCTGGACTAACTGCTGTGTCTGCGACGACCCATGTAAAGGAAGACTCGTGGAATGATAGCGCTTTCTGGTTGCCACAACATGCCTGACAACGTCGGGTCGGAGTTCCCAAGACTCGCTGCCCTGCGAGCCCTTTGCTCAGTTGCGTCGATCCCAAGCTCCGCAACTCCCTCACAACACAGAGCAGCAACCGCAACAGTATTGCTTTTCCTTTGTTTTTCCTGGGGGGTGTGTGTGCGAGAATTGGTCGTTTTCATGTGACCCAGGACTCTAAATCTGCAAAACCCGGCCGGAAGCTCTGACGAAGCAAGGCCTTCAGCTCGACGAGTTTGCTGAGCACTCGGAAGTGGCCTTCCCATCGGATCCGGGGAATCGAAGAGCCAGGGGCATGTTTTGCAGCATCTGGTTCGTGAGATATCCGAAACACCTTCTTGCAAAAGCCGACATGGTACGGGAGCAACCGACATGAATTCTCTCTTCCATCATGACACCTTTGCTATCCAAGCAAATGTTGGGTCAGCACAAACAGCAGTACCACACATGGCCCACTGGTCATTCCGAGTCTCTTGCATGGGAGTCCGCAAATTCTGTTTGCATGTGAGAAGCGTGCCCTAACGGTAGAACGGCTCGACAGAAGAGCCTGCTGTTCGTCCTGCTGCCACGGCATAGTGCAGGACAGTCATGCCCTTGTCGCCCGTGTCCTTGGCGGATAGAGTTGCGCAGAAGCTCACTCTACTTAAGCATGCAAAATGGAACAGAAATGCTGCGGCTCCCGCTAGAAGGACCTTGTTGCCTCCGCCATGTGCAGCTTTGGACCTCGTGTGCAAGCGAGGACAACTGAAGCCTCGCAGCCGGGATTCGGCCGTCCGAACAATTTGTGGTATTGGGGGGCCTGTTACAATCTGTGCTTCTTCCCAGGATGGGCTTTTCGGGATGCTCAACGCCTGATTCTGATTCTCGCACGGAACGATGCCCGCTAATATTCCCAACAGGTCTCGGGCAGCTTCTTTTGGCGCCGTTCGGCGGCAAGGGTGAGTAGCCTGGCACGACTGAGGATTCAATTCAGGAAACCCCACTTGTCTCAGTTGTGGCCCCACATCGGCCACTGCACGCCAATGCAGAACAGGATCAACAATTGCTGTACTGCCCGAAAGCAGTGCACTCTCCGGGCTTCGAATCCAAAGCTGGGCCTAAGGCGTCACCTGTCAAAGCATCAAATGCATGCGGTATATAATGTACACGTATAATCATCAAGATCGAATATACAAAGCGTGCCAGCGGAGCTCACGGCCGAAGGGTGCAACCTGGAGGTGATAAGCAGTGGAACCAGGGACCACGAAGTCAAAGCTGCATCGGACACTCCGTGCCGCGCATGTGCCTGCATGCCCTGCAATCCCCTCTGTTCTTCTGCACGATTTTTGTAGGTATCTTCTGGTCATGTTTCGCAAATCTTGCATTGAGTCGGCAGTGTAAACGGGAGGTACTGTGGAACGCATCTGCGAGGGTAGTGCATGCCATGTGCATCATAAAAAAGTTGCAGTCGAAGGTTGTCTTCGGGACCTTGCTGCCTGACTGTACCTGAGTCTGCAATATGTTGCGGATGAGGTGACGCAGGTTTCTTGTTGAGTGTCTGTCTTGCGGTCAATTTAGTCGTTGCTGTCGACGCTAGATGTTCGTTCGGTGTGGAGGACAAGTGTTCCAGCTCGGCGTTTCAAGAAATCACGTCTTGGGTTCTGGGCAAGCAAGATTATGAAGAGTTGCTGGTCCTGTGCTACGTGCATGCAGGGGCAAACCTCTGCGCTCTAGTCGCTGTGGGCTCGTTAGAATGCTTTCCAGACACCTCAGCGGCACTTGCCGGCAATGGTCGGAATCCACAGCTGTAAACTTAAAGCTATGTGCTCGAAACCTTTCTCCAAACAGCACATGCAAAGAGGGCACAAACCATGTATGTGTGCACACTGAAACGACCAGAGTTTGCCTTGCCTCTTCCTTGAATGCCGTCTCCTCCTGCAGTAACTGCTTCAGAGGTGCAGAAGCCTACAGCTAATCCACCCCGAAACGGCAATAGTTTTGGATTTCGGGGAAACCGAAACCGGAAACCACAGTGATGCCGCTACTCATAATAACCGAAAGATGAGAGCACCGATGGTAATCCTGATAGGCCTCCGGGATGGACGACGACCAGCAACAACAGGACCACGATTGCTACTGCTCCAACAAAGCATGTACACCCTCAACCAGGAGTAGCAGCAGTGGTGGTGGTGGTAGTGGTGCTCGTGATAGTCGTCGTCGTAGTAGTCGTAGCGGCAGCACCAGCAGTGGTATCTAGAGCTGAAGTTGTAGTGGTCAGCACTTCTATAGCACGGTGATGACAAACCTTGAAATCATTCACAAAGAACTGTCTGAAAGTTGGCAAGGGGGATGTGGGAAAAATCCCCTCCGTTTCCTTCGTCGAGGAGGAGCATCCGTCGTTGGATGCCTTACGGAAGGCATTCGCAGCAGTGGACCCATAAGGCTTCCGACTCTCACACAGACCAGTTCGATTGCGAAGGTTACCACCACCTGTCGTGAGATTCTTGCGTTGCGACGGGGAAGCACCAAACAAAAGCAGCGGCCTCATCCGTGGAAGATAATGCCCGCGTCCCAGTGGCAGATACCTCCCACCGATATGACTCGAAGTTTGGGTAGAGAGAACATGCTAGAAGTGTTGCGAAACGCGTTGTGAAAACAGAGGGCACCTTGTGCAATCAAGCAAGTTATTCAACCCCTTAGATTCACTCGTGGGCGGCTCCCGGACCGCTCTACCTCGACCGGTTCTTCTTACGGTTTGCTTCGAGGTTTACAAACTGCTTTGGCAGACTCTGGCAAGAGGGACGGCAGTGAAGAAGGCCTCACCGCGCGAAGGCCGTCGGAAGCCAAGGCTCATGCTGAGTCCCAGGGTGACGCTGCCGGTCTCGCACAGGACGAGGTGGCGAGAGGGTTTGCAGGCATACCGAATTCGGAGTGAGGGAACACACAGTCTGAAACATCAACACAAGACGGGTCCTGAAGGATCTACGGTTGTCCAGGCTTGCCAGCTCCCCTCGAAGGTCCCCAACTCGTTTTCGGTGCCCTGAAACGTCACCTTTTGCATGCTCAACACAGTTTGAAGAGTTGCAGATCTTCAACTCGGCAGCCTCAGCCCCAAAAACGCCGCTGCTTACTCTCCCACTCCACGTCCCGGCACCAGAACGCACCCAGTTGCCTCCCTGGAATTCTTCCGAGATCCCGTGAGGCTCACCTGCGCGGCTACGGGTCTAACTGGGCATCGCTGGGCTCTAGACATTTTGACAAGGCCCGTGGGCACGCGAAGCCGGGGGGGTTTCTGGAGTTTGGAGTTCATGTGTCTGGGATTTTGTGCCGGGCCTAGGACAACTTCGGACTGACGTGCAGAATTTCCAACCCCATCGTCAGCGCTTCGATGTCTTCGCCGAAGGCTTGTGCAAGTCTTGTCATGTGCTGCGGAGCCACTACAGCTGCGGAGCGCCACGCATCGCGAGGCATAGCGTCGATTACCCCCAGGCGTGTCGACGCCGCCCGTGTGTTTCTCGCCGGACGTTTTGCAAGAGGGGGTCCCAACCGGAGGCCATCCTCGATTAGGAGATCAAGATTGTCTGCGCGGTGCTAGAACGGTGCCGCCCGACTGCTTCATTTGCAAGAAGGCCGAACCAGCACACCTGCAACGTTGCGACTTGTCAGCTCATCCTGGACAGCGCTCCAGCTCTTTGGTTTCGCGTCGGCAAACCTCTGCAGTGGTGTTCCGAGCTAAGCGGCTAAGGGTTGAACAGTCTCTGCAGGCTGACAAAAAGATTTGTTGCCCACCGATCCAAGGATGCTGCGAACGGACCTCTCAGATGCACTGCCTCGTCAAGCCCGTACAAAGGGCAAAGGGGGGTGAATTGGGAGGTTGGGTCTGGACATGTCTGGATATCTTGAGGCAATGAACCCTGCAAATCTAGCCGCATTCGAAACCGGCCTCGCGGGATGGTCGCCGCGAGCCGGCGAAGGGCAACTGGAAACACGAAGGCGAGCGGCTTGAGGCCCTTTAGGAGGTATGGGGTTTTCCGACCGCAAACACCTGTCCGAACGATCGTGCTGAAACTATTCGCTTCGACGGAATCGTCTCCGCTATCGAGACACAAGGCTTCACATCCAAGCAGCTGGATAACTTCCACTCGAACATTGAGACGATCTTCAGTCTGGCTACAGGGGCAATCCGCTACTTCAAGGAATCTCCAATGATGTGATAAGTCATCTCAAAGCCCTGAGAAGAATCTAAGAAGGTCCCCATTGAGGCTCGCACCTGTGTCACTGAGTTTTTGCGAGAGCCTGGTCGAGATGCCTGCGACGCAGTCATGGATTGGACCAGTCGCGAAGAGTGCGAGCTGCCTCAATCTCGCTGTGATGAACATCTTCTAATTGGGAGTATCCGGAGTGACATACAGCAATGCCTCTCATTGCCGTCACCATCGAAGCATTGATACTAGTGCGTGCCATCACTACCACTGTTGCTACTACTATTATTCTTGTTATTATTGTCATTACTAGTGTTGTTATTTTCTATTACTATTACCACTACTTCTACTACTACTACTACTACTACTACTACTACTACTACTCCTGCTGCTGCTGCTGCTACTACTACTACTACGACCACTGCTGTTACTTTTACTGCTACTGCTACTGCTTACGACGCC